TACGATGGGTGGAAGAATGGGGTTATTATCTAGGATCAGTGAGACTTAGGACACGCGACTGATAGCCGGGTGGTGACAGAAAGACAAAGTATCTGCACCCCAGAGGAAGACATCTCTAAAAAAAAAGGAAACTACATGACAAAGTATTCAATGGAATAGCTGTAAGGGGTAAAAATATTTTTTGAAGAAGATGCAAACCCAAAACACTAAAAATGTCATGTCAAGCTTTGAAAGTGAATCTTAGAATGACATTAACGTATTAATTATTTTTAAAAATCGGCATTGTTTATTAAATAATGGTCGTCACTGAGTTGGTTACAGCCTGGTCACAGTGCTGGGGGCATACAACTGAGTGTACTCCCAGCACAAAACCGTGACACAGTAAATATCAGAGCTATATAAATGTATAATAATAGTGTGTGACTGTGGGGGGGACATTAGAGTGTAAGCTCCTCTGTACAGAGACTGATGTGACTGTGGGGGGGACATTAGAGTGTAAGCTCCTCTGTACAGAGACTGATGTGACTGTGGGGGGGACATTAGAGTGTAAGCTCCTCTGTACAGAGACTGATGTGACTGTGGGGGGGACATTAGAGTGTAAGCTCCTCTGTACAGAGACTGATGTGACTGTGGGGGGGACATTAGAGTGTAAGCTCCTCTGTACAGAGACTGATGTGACTGTGGGGGGGACATTAGAGTGTAAGCTCCTCTGTACAGAGACTGATGTGACTGTGGGGGGGACATTAGAGTGTAAGCTCCTCTGTACAGAGACTGATGTGACTGTGGGGGGGACATTAGAGTGTAAGCTCCTCTGTACAGAGACTGATGTGACTGTGGGGGGGACATTAGAGTGTAAGCTCCTCTGTACAGAGACTGATGTGACTGTGGGGGGGACATTAGAGTGTAAGCTCCTCTGTACAGAGACTGATGTGACTGTGGGGGGGACATTAGAGTGTAAGCTCCTCTGTACAGAGACTGATGTGACTGTGGGGGGGACATTAGAGTGTAAGCTCCTCTGTACAGAGACTGATGTGACTGTGGGGGGGACATTAGAGTGTAAGCTCCTCTGTACAGAGACTGATGTGACTGTGGGGGGGACATTAGAGTGTAAGCTCCTCTGTACAGAGACTGATGTGACTGTGGGGGGGACATTAGAGTGTAAGCTCCTCTGTACAGAGACTGATGTGACTGTGGGGGGGACATTAGAGTGTAAGCTCCTCTGTACAGAGACTGATGTGACTGTGGGGGGGACATTAGAGTGTAAGCTCCTCTGTACAGAGACTGATGTGACTGTGGGGGGGACATTAGAGTGTAAGCTCCTCTGTACAGAGACTGATGTGACTGTGGGGGGGACATTAGAGTGTAAGCTCCTCTGTACAGAGACTGATGTGACTGTGGGGGGGACATTAGAGTGTAAGCTCCTCTGTACAGAGACTGATGTGACTGTGGGGGGGACATTAGAGTGTAAGCTCCTCTGTACAGAGACTGATGTGACTGTGGGGGGGACATTAGAGTGTAAGCTCCTCTGTACAGAGACTGATGTGACTGTGGGGGGGACATTAGAGTGTAAGCTCCTCTGTACAGAGACTGATGTGACTGGCTCAGTGTCCTCTGTACAGCACTGCGGTATATGTCAGAGCCATATAAATGTATAATAATAATAGCATGTAGGAAAATACAGTAAATGATGCTGTTTCTATGGTAGTTTGGGGCAGAATTTGACCAGATTTAGCGCTGTTAAAAAATGCATAGACCCGTTCATACTGCTGTATATATGCAGATACAATGTTTGCTCAGAGCCACAGCACACAGAAAATGAGATTAAGAGGATAGATTTCATTCTGTGATATGATGGAGGAAAAGTACAAAACACACACACACACATAAAAACACACAAAAAAATTAATAATTTCAGCTTCCGCTAATCAGGTCTCTGATGACTTCCTATCCAGAGCAGCCAGGGAACATCAAGGCCTTACAGCAATTCTGAAACTGGCACTAGTATGGGTTCACTCTGTTGGGATGGAGGTCATCTTACCTTGGGTAACCTCTCAGGGTCTCCCGGGTGTCGGGGCACCACCTTCTGTAGTCTCTGGAAGCCGTAGTCAATGGTTGGTTCATTCAAGGCTGTAAAGAGGAGTGTCAGATGTTAAGTGACAGAAACACACCCAACACATCAAGAAGAACCTAACCTGAACATTTATCAGAACAATGAAAATTCATAACATGTGAGACACATCGTCCAAAATTAACTATAAAGATCTTGACATGAGATAGAACAGGAAAAGGGAACCTAAGGCACAGTTGCCATGGGCATGCAATGTCATTTTCAGTGGGACCCAGGAGGTCATCGCATTACACGGATGCAGGCTGGCACTGGTCCACCGGAGGACCTGGGGGCTGATCTGAGGTGTGAAGGTGCAAAAAATGGGGGTGATCTGAGATCTGAAGTTGCAAAAACTGGGATGATCTGAAGTCTGAAGGTGCAGGAATTGGGGCTGATCTGAGGTGTGAAGGTACAGGAATTGGGATGATCTGAGGGGTGAAGGTGCAGGAATTTGGGCTGATCCAAGGGGTGAAGGTGCAGGAATTGTGGTGATCCGAGGGGTGAAGGTGCAGGAATTGGGGCTGAAGTGAGTTTGGAAGGCGCAGGAATTGGGCTGATTTGAGGTATGAAGGTGCAGGAATTGGGGCTGATCTGAGGGGTGAAGGTGCAGGAATTGGGGTGATCTGAGGTGTGGAGGTGCAGGAATTGGGGTGATCTGAGGTGTAAGGGTGCAGGAATTGGGGCTGATCTGAAGGTGCAGAAACTGGGGCTGATCTGTGGTGTGAAGGTGCAGGAATTGGGGCTGATCTGAGGGGTGAAGGTGCAGGAATTGGGGTGATCTGAGGTGTGGAGGGGCAGGAATTGGGGTGATCTGAGGTGTGGAGGGGCAGGAATTGGGGTGATCTGAGGTGTGGAGGGGCAGGAATTGGGGTGATCTGAGGTGTGGAGGGGCAGGAATTGGGGTGATCTGAGGTGTGGAGGGGCAGGAATTGGGGTGATCTGAGGTGTGGAGGGGCAGGAATTGGGGTGATCTGAGGTGTGGAGGGGCAGGAATTGGGGTGATCTGAGGTGTGGAGGGGCAGGAATTGGGGTGATCTGAGGTGTGGAGGGGCAGGAATTGGGGTGATCTGAGGTGTGGAGGGGCAGGAATTGGGGTGATCTGAGGTGTGGAGGGGCAGGAATTGGGGTGATCTGAGGTGTGGAGGGGCAGGAATTGGGGTGATCTGAGGTGTGGAGGGGCAGGAATTGGGGTGATCTGAGGTGTGGAGGTGCAGGAATTGGGGCGATCTGAGGTGTGAAGGTGCAGGAATTGGGGTTGATCTGAGGTGTGAAGGTGCAGGAAATGGGGCTGATCTGAGGTGTGAAGGTGCAGGAAATGGGGCTGATCATATATCTGTATGTGCAGAAATTGGGGCTGATCTGAGGCATGGATGTGTAATAATTGGGGCTGATCTAAAGTCTCAAGGTGCAGGAACAGGGGGCTGATCTGAAGGTGCAGGAACTGACCTTTTGTCTATGGCACTGGCACCCCAGCTGTCTAATGTTCATACATTGACGCTTAACCTGGAAAAGGTTGCTGACCAATGTGATAGAACAATATGTTTGCTTAGCTCTAACCTTCAGTTCCATTGCTTGCTCCTTACTTCAGGGCTGACATAAAAAAGATTAGGACCACACCCACTGTTCCTATAAAGGATCTTACCACCATATAGGTGAAGAATGGTGGGCTGTACCACAGGCTGGCATTTTACATCTCTTGGGGACACCAACAATGAGATCTCCCTGCCAAGATTCTTGACTCTGTTCCTGTCCACCTAAGAGTTTTAGGTCTTCCTGCCCATCTTTGTGTGTCCCAGTTCCTCCCGTTACATTCTTCATAATATAAAACAAATACAAATCCATCAGGGATGGTGGGAGCCCCTCATATTGGTCATAATGAGTGTGCAGACCCAGGAACTCGACACCTGCTAGGAGATGTAACCAGCCAGTATTTGGTTATCTTGGTGCAGAGATTGAGGAGAATGGATGTATAACTCTGTACTGTGGAATATCTTTAAAATAGTGTAAGCTCCTCCGGTGCAGAGACTGATGTGACCGGCTCGGTGTTCAATGTACATGTATGGTGTGGAATATGTCAGAACTATTTCATTGTATATTAAAAATAATAACACATGCAAAGTGTGTAGCCAGATGGACATCTCGGGATAGGTTGAATGATCTGTATAAGTCATTATTCCTCTTTGCTTCATATTTGCACTATAATAAGAGCTGGACAAGAGAAATGCAAGGGAATGAAAAGAAAAACCCACTGCCAGTTCGAACCAACGCTCTGCATCATCCGAAAATCTGACACGATACATTTGTTGGCAAAGTGTCTCAACGTTTGCTACCACAAAAGGTTCTCTGAGGTGTGAAGGTGCAGGGTGTACATGGATAGAGAACTGGCTAAAGGAACGGGTACAGAGAGTATCAATAAATGGCGCCCTTTCAGACTGGGCTAGTGTCATGAGCGGTGTGCCTCAGGGTTCTGTGGTGGGACCCATGCTGTTCAACCTGTTTATTAACGACATCAGGGACGGAGTAAACAGCAATGTTTCAGTGTTTGCTGATGATACCAAAATTGGGAGGGTAATAGAAACGGACCAAGATAGTGTAACATTACAGGAGGACCTGGATAAAATAGGGGGAGGGGCAACTATATGGCAGATGAGGTTTAATGTCGATAAATGCAAAGTAATGCACTTTGGGACTAAAAATAAACAAATGGGTTATACAATGATGGGTATGCCGCTGGGGAAGTCTGAAATGGAGAAGGATTTGGGGGTCATTGTAGACCATCGACTGAATAATAGCTTACAGTGCCAGGTTGCATTAAGCAAAGTTAGTAGAGCCCTTTCCTGTATCAAAAAGGGAATGTTTTGCAGGGACAGGTCTATAATTTTGCCACTTTACACATCACTGGTTCGGCCTCATCTGGAGTATGCGGTCCCGTTTTGGGCACCAGTCCACAGAAAGGATGTCCTGGAGCTGGAGAGAGTCCAGCGGAGGGCAACCAAACTCATTAAGGGGATGGAGGACCAGAACTATGAGACAAGGCTACTAAATTTAAATATGTTCACATTGGAGGTGAGGAGATTAAGGGGGGATATGATTTTCATGTACAAGATGTTCAATGGTCATAGCAACATTAGCAACAAACTCTTTACGGTTAACCCCATAACAAAGACTAGAGGCCACCACCTAAAATTGTTGGATAAAAAATTCCAACACAAGGGGCGAAGGGGGTTCTTCACAGTTAGAGCGGTTAGGGTCTGGAACTTTCTGCCACAGGCAGTGATTTCAGCTAAGAGTGTGGAATCATTCAAGAAGCTTTTGGACGATTTCCTGAGTGACCGTAATGTAAAAGGGTACAGGTACTCTTAAGAATGGGATGACACAGGGACCTATACATACACACACACACAATAGGCTGGACTTGATGGACTTATGTCTTTATTCAACCTCAAATACTATGTAACTATGTAACTATTTTCTCCACACAGTGGTCATTCATAGACATGTGCGATTCGTTTCGTTCCGAACCAAAATCCAGACCAATTTTCCGAAATTCGGACACATCCGAATTTCACAATCCCAATGCATCCGAATGTGTCCGAATTTCACAATCCCAATGCATCCGAATGTGTCCGAATTTCACAATCCCAATGCATCCGAATGTGTCAGAATTTTACAATCCCAATGCATCCGAATGTCTCCGAATTTCACGATCCCAATGCATCCGAATGTGTCCGAATATCACAATCCCAATGCATCCGAATTTGTCCGAATATCACAATCCCAATGCATCCGAATGTGTCCGAATATCACAATCCCAATGCATCCAAATGTGTCCGAATATCACAATCCCAATGCATCCGAATGTGTCTGAATATCACAATCCCAATGCATCCAAATGTGTCCGAATATCACAATCCCAATGCATCCGAATGTGTCCGAATCTGAATTTCCTGTCTTCGAAATTTCGGATCCCATGTGAATTTCGTTTAAAAACTACATTGAATCGGACATGTGACTTTTCTGGCCAATCAGATGTGTTTTTCAGTTTAATGCATCCGAATTCCCGAATAACATTTGGGAGCTCCCGAATGCCATTCGGGTCTGGGAGCCTCAGCTTTATGTATATACAGGTCACAATGTTGCTGTAGCGAATATTCATTCATAATACAGAATACATATATACATAATAGTAAAGCTGAGGCTCCAAGACCCGAATGGAGTCCAAATTTCCGAATCATATATGGGAGCTCCCAAATGCCATTCGGTTCTGGAAGCCTCAGCTTTATTATTATGTATGTATATGGCTCCCAGATCCTGATTGCTTTCTGGAGCTCCCGAATGCTATTCGGAAATTCGGACTCCCGAATGCCATTTGGGTCTAGGAGCTTCAGCTGTAGTATTAATATCTGTATATGGTTTTCTGTGGTTGTCACAACGAATAGTAAACTCTTCCGAAACTAACGAAAATTCGGCTTTCGTCCGAATCCGAGAATTTCGGACCTGAATCCCGAATTCTGAAATCGCGAAAAATCTGAATTTAATTTTTCCGCAGCTTACACGTCTAGTCGTTACTCCTGTGACAAAAAACACGCTACAGGGCTTGAAATAAACATATTGCGATGCAGCACGACGAGATCCGCTACTCATTAACCCTTCGCTTGCAGGGACAGAACAAGCACCCCGCTTTCATATATCTTTCTCCATGTAATTGTCAGATAGTTGCTTCCCTTCCCAGCATTGGATCAATATGTCTCGCTGCTCTCATCGCTCTATGACTAATGATATGATGATAGTGGAGGGGAGGGGGGAGAGACGTGGCTTTATGTGACCTCGGACCTCCCCCCTACCCCCACCCCACCTCCACAAAGTGTCCTGCGATTCCGTCCCAGGATGAAGATGGATGATTCACAAGCAGGTAATAAATATTTCTGTGGTTTTTCTTTCATGATGTTTTTTTTGTTACCATCAATTGCAAGTGTTTGTGATGTTCTGGCGCACTGGTAGCTGTAATCTGCAGGTCAGC